AATAATATAATAATATACCAATAACAACTACGAATGTGTGTGAATCTACGTTGAGCACTCGAACGTCGCGACGGGTTCAGTGAGATCTCGGCATTGTCCGATTCGCGTACACTGCGAAAACAATAACCATGGTCGTGGTCGTAATCGTGGCATCAGCGGTCGTCTCATCACCAATCGTCGATCGTATCATCGTGACGCCTTATAAAATCACGTCGGTGAAGTCCGTCTCGCATGTGATTTATAATTTAAAAAAAAAAAAATGTTTACGAACGAATCACGCACTGGAAAAACGCACACACATCTAGACGACGAACCTGATAGTAGACCGGCTGAGGGAGTGGGGTGATAAGTGGAATTCGGACGCGATGAAATATAAAACGACGACGACACTGCACCGGCGAATATGAGGGATTTAATTTTAAATTATAATATTGTTCTGCAACGATCTACGACGAAAATAGTTTTTATACACTGACGAGATGGTCAACGACGACTTCGGCGATCGTACACTGCGGGGTAGGGGTACGAACACGCCGGTCGGTCGAGCAACAGTTGTGCGACTGAATGGCATGAACGAGATGGACTCGGTCGACCGGTGGTGTGCGTACGCGCGGATAGTGGCAGTGTGTGTAGTCGCCCAAAGGAACGCGCGCCGCGCGACGGCGGCGCACTTTATACGCCGTCGCGTCGACGGCCTGTCCCTACGAAAACCCGCGACCCTTTTCGCCGAAAACCACCCTTCCGCCACAAAACACCCCCACCACCACAAACCACCACAAAACACCACAAATAGTTACCCCTCCGCTGCAGTGCACTATATAATATATACGTACAATGTACATATATCATTTAGCTGACCTCCTACAACCCGTTCGAGGAGAACCTGGCAATAAGAAACAAATTCACTGTTGTATTCTAAAATTTAAATATTTGATAATGTTTTGATGGTGTTTTTTGGGCCGTATCCATTTTCCTCCAAAARCGAGATACCGTTTTCCTCCACTGACCATTTTCCTCCAAAAAAATAAAAAATAATTCTTGACCTTTTTCCTCCACTTTCCATTTTCCTCCAATAAATAATAAAGTAGGTAATATAAATAATTTATTTATAGCATAGAAAAAA